ATAAGAGTTATATTATCAGAATATTGTCATAAGGACAAATATTCTGTAGCACTTACGAGTGGTTGATATAGGCCATTATATCAACCAACGAAGACGCGCCACGACAGACGCACGCAATGAGTGGTGAGCAGATAACTGATTTACACATTTGTATTTAGACATAGTTAGATTGAAGATAAATAGTGATTTATTGCAGGCATTAACTATTATAAATACAGTTCTACTTCTTACTTTAATCAAGTACTCGCTTCTTCTTACCGTCTTCCTCTGTACGTACGAGTGTACGTGAAGTTACGAGGCACCGCCTTATTCTGTCATCAGAATAAGTAGCTTGTACTGTCACCAGTACAAGCTTCAGGGTGCCCCGTTACAGTCACGCTATCGGCTTGATATTGCGACTTAAACCCAACAACCCACTTCTTTTTGCCTTCAATCTTTTCGGTACTCCAGGCTTCACCGTCATGCTGTCGGTTTGATCTTCCTCAGCTGCAGTTGAAAAAAAACTTTGAACCCGAACCTCTCTTCATGTCCCCTTTCTTAACGTACTTCTTTTTAACTGTGTGCCATACCGAACGTTTTTTTTGCATTTGCGCACCGACGCTCGTGTTTTTGTCAACGATGGTTATGTTCGTAATAAATGGATAATGGATGGGTAAGGGTTGAGGAAAACTAATTTCAAAAATCTGCAAATTACTCAGCAGTACCGTCGACCGCCTGATCCTCGCTATCGTGTAATCATGTTTGATTTCGTTGTAGTTATCTTCACTGTCGTTGGCAGTGTAATACTTTTGCTCGTCGTTGTTGCTCGCGCTACAAGGGTTCGTCACAGTTTTAGAACCTCCTTCGTCTTTGATGGTGTTTTGATCTTGTTTGTCGTTGTGGTAGACGTCGTGGTGTTAATCGTTAACTGTTGATAACGTCGTAGTCCATAATACCATCTGCGTCGCCGTCAGAAGTCCGATATGCCGTCGTGGATAACTGCAGATCTATACCAAACATTATTGTCTGCATGCGCATGCGCATCCACGTCATCGTCTTAAACGCTCTGCGCATTTGAAGGAGCATTTCCGACACGTAGGATGATATTAAGTATAAGTCCAAAGATCACAGATCACTTACTTAAATAATTGTGTTATGCTCGCCAGCTTGCGCTTTTTATAATTTCGTGTTGTGTTCGTGGGTGTACGCGGAATCTGTCGCATGGAGAGACAATAAAGTCATTTTGGCATCCGCAAGATACACGTAGCTGGATGTCGAATGCGCTTGTTCTTCACCTAAAACAAGCTCTAGAGCCAGCGACGAATCGTAGTATTCAGCCAGCGCGTTATTTCTAGTCGATCAAACCGCGACGAGCCGTCACTAGTGTGGTGAAGCGAGTTTTCGGGAATGATGAACTTAAGGATCGATAAGCCGGATGGACATGGAACCTCGCGGCCGGGAAAGAGGCCGGAGATCTGGGAGCCCCAGGCAAGAAGCGGCCGTTGGGTCCAACCGTGACGAGCGATTAAGGTTACCGCTAACGGGGTCACACCGACCGGCGGTACCAGTCAAACGGTACCGATATGGACCGTTCTCAACCACTCGTCGGTCGGCCTGGTCACACATGGGCCGACTTGGCCCCTCAAGGTCTGGTGGCTTCTGGCCACTCATCATAGGGAACCCAGGTGCAAGGCAAAACAGCGCGAAGGAGTTTAAAGGATAGGGAAATATTAAATACTACGAAATTTGAGATCGAAATAGTGCGACGTGTCGTGCGCTAAGAAATTTGTAAGTCTATAGACCTGTTCCGGACCAGGGATCTGTTTGGCCCACCCGTCGAATAGACTGTATAAGTAGGACCCAAGTGTAACTAGAACCCCAGGAAGTATTTTGGCGTATGGGTTCGTAGAGTACCACTCCCCGACTCAAGCCCGCTATAGGAAGGTGTCTCCATACCCTTGTGGTAAGGGAGAAGAAACGTAAAGTCCAGGCGGTTAGCACCTCTAATACAAGTAAAGGCCAGGTGCTACCAGCACCTGAGACAACTACTTTTTAGACCACTCTCGACCAAGTCGATCGAGTGGCCGCCTGAATTGGACCCCGACCTAAGCATCTCCGCTCGGGGCCTCCCCAGGTTGACCTCCATCAAGGCCGACGTCTACATCATCACCAAGACCTCCGAAGAGTGACACCTGCCAAGCCTACGGGTACACAAGGTGAATCAAGGTCCACAAGCGGCATCGGGGTACCTCCTCCGACAGTCGGCAGTCCGGTACAGTGAGTGGTTGGGGGTCTTGTCGAACAGTTTGACAAACCACTCCACCACACTAGTGTTTTCAGTAGTGCGAGACGTTCAATGCATACGGATCTATACTACGAGACGGGCGACAGTAGCGCCCCAGAGGACCATGTTGGCCCAAAACAAAAGTACTGATGAAGTTGCTGGTCTTGGTAGCGCCCGAAAAGGGATTGAACGCTAGGCTGCCAATGATGCAACCCTTCGACGATGCTGTAGTACAATGTGGCACAACATGCAGCTTGAAGCTGTATCTCAAGGGATAGGATGAGCGCAAGCGCCAGCATCATAACTATGGCGCCTAGAGCGCGGGCGCAGAGACGATAGCTGTGAATTTTGAGAATCAGCGCGACGGTTTCGAGGACGAAAAGACAAGCAAGCACATCAAGGGCTTCGTGTCACTCCAATATTATCTGTAGCCGCTAATTATCACGATAGGTGTTACGATTTGTCGAGCAATGGGCGAGAGAACGAAGCTTGAAAAGCTTGAAAGAAGTCTACACTGCGAAGTGAAGACGACTTGTGTAGGAGAAGGAATATTTGGAAGTGAATTTATGTGTGGGTTTTGTTAAAGCTACCTGATTTATCTCTGCACTGATTTATATGTTGTCCACATATAAATCATGAATCATAAATCATGTAGGTCATCCAATCATCCTATGCGTCTAATCATTGGTAAAAACTCACCGTAATTACGCGGGATCGACTTGGACAGGTTTACGGTTCCCATGGTAGCTGATATCAGTACCTCAACCGTCAACCCACAATTCGCCCCCTCAATGCGAATACGCGTGTATGCCGAGCGCTGCCGTCAAGTCCTTGTGACGCGGTCCTGACAGTCCCTTCGTCATGTTGTCCGCCAACATAGCCGTAGTCTCGCAGTACTCCAACGTGACATCACCACGCTTGACTTCATCACGAATGTGATGGTACTTGATGTCGATGTGCTTGGCCCGACCATGGATCACAGGATTCTTCGTCTACTTGATGCACGATTGGTTATCTTCCATGATCTTGAGCTCGTGTCCAGACTTGTCCTCTGCGGCATCCAGAATGTCGCACAGCAATCGATGCACCCACTTGCCTTCTTGAATCGCCAGACTTAGTGCAATGTACTCAGCTTCACTTGTTGACAGCGACACACTTGACTGCTTTTTGCTTCCCCAGCTCACCGGAGCACCCATCAGGATGAACGCATATCCCGAAGTCGACTTGTGGTCTGCATGGTCGCCGGCCCAGTCTGCATCCGAGTAGCCGCAGAAGTCTATCTTGTCATCAGACTTGAAACAGATACCGTGCGACTTAGTCCCTTGTAAGTATCGCAAAATGCGCTTGACCGCCATCCAATGCTCGACTTGGGGGTTTTCCATGAAGCACGAAACGTAACTCACATCAAAGGCAATTTCCGGTCGTGTCGCGGTCATCAAGTGCATCAAAGCGCCTACTGCTTCACGAAACGGGGCGTCGATTTTAGTTGCTGCGATGCTTGATATGAGTCGAGAACTGATGTCTATTGGGCTGGTGACGGCTTTGCAGTCGCTCATGCCAAAACGTTTGAGGACATCTTCCACGTAGCGTCGCTGGCACATCGTCACGCTACCGTTGTCGTTGTCCACCAGCTCGATGCCCAACACGAATGCGCACTTGCCGCTGTCGGTCATTTCGAAACGCGCCTTAAAGTCACTCTTGGTGCGCTTAATCAGTTCGGTCGAGCTGCCAGTCACCAACACATCATCGACGTATACCAGCGAAAGCACACACTCGCCACTTGTAATCTTGAGATAAAGACACGGGTCAAAATCGGAGACTTGAAATTCAATGGAGCAGACGAATTCATAAAAAGTCTCGTTCCATACGCGCGATGCTTGTTTAAGTCCGTAGATCGCCTTGACCAGTTCAAAGCAGTCAAAGTCTTCATCAACTTCGATTTCTTCTGGGATCGCGCAGAATACCTTTTCCTTCATTTTTCCGTAAAGGAAAGCTGTCACCACGTCCAGTTGGTCCAGTGTCCAGTCAAAGTACTTCGTGATTGCAACCACCATGCGCAGCGTCACGTACTTGACTACCGGCGAAAACTTCTCCGTGTAGTCGATGCCATATGTCTGCTTGAACCCTTTTGCCACGAGACGCGCCTTGTATTTCTCGATGGATCCATCAGCTTTTCGTTTGATCCTGAATACCCACTTGGTGCCAATGGTGTGCTGTCCATATGGCAGTTTGGTCGCACGGACACGCCACGAAGTTTCATCGAGTCCAACTCGGCACAGATTGCTTTACGCCAATGCACTTGATCTGGTCCACCAACAGCATCATCAAACGTTGTCGGCTCAGACAAGTCAGTACCTTCGACTGCATTGGCACTCGCTCGCCAAAAGACTTGAGGTGTAGCATCTTCGTTATCTTCGTCACTGCCCTTTCGCTCTTCGTCCAGATTGTCTCGAGCGCTTGATCGTCGCTTCGCTTGGTGCGATTCAAAGTCATCCGGGGCACTTGCTTCTTCTAACCCGGTTCCACGACGCTCAGGAAGTGTCCGTTGTAGAACTTGTTCTTGACTGTTTGAACGGCTTTTGCGTTTTCCGGTTTGCTTGAACTGCATACGGTGAGGCTCATCGCTGATGTTCAACAAATCGATATCCAGCGCAGTGTCATCAACAATTTCTTGTGATAGCGTCGGCGAGAAACCAAACGTTGATTCGTCGAATGTGACATCGCGAGATATCACCACTTAGTCCGCTTCAATGTCGTAAACGCGATATGCCTTTGACACTTCTTCATACCCCGTGAATAGTCCTTCACGAGCCTTCGGATCCCATTTCGATCTCCTTTCCTTAGGGGTCAGCACAAACGTTCGGCAGCCGAAAACCCGCATGTGCTTCACACTTGGTCGAAATCCGTTGACGATCTCGAACGGGGTTTGATCTTGGCACTTGGGCGATGGCAGGCGATTCTTGATGTAGATCGCTGTCATTGCTGCTTCAGCCCAAAAACACCTGTCCAGCTTGGCGTAGTGAAGCATGCTGCGCCCGATCGTCACAATGGTCCGAATTGCCCGTTCCGCCGTGCCGTTGGTCTTATGCGCATATGGAACGGTAACTTGCTGCTCGATTCCTAGATCGTCGTAGAATGCCTTGAGCGGATTCGCCGCGAATTCTCGTGCACCATCGTGTCGAACGAACTTGACCTTATAGTCAAACTGCGTCTGTACTGCCATGATGTACTTCTTGATGCACTCTTCGCTGTCGTACTTGGCGCGCAGACTGAAACCCTTCATACATCCGCTGCCTTCATCGACGATCAGTAGCAAGTACTTGCTTCCACCTAGCGAGTCGACTTCCATTGGACCACAAGTGTCGATGTGTAGAAGCTCAAACGGATCGTGCACAACAAGCAGATCGCCACGTCCTCATCCTCCATCTTGGCGCCGATACTGCTGAGCTTGGCGCTGATGTTGAGAACTTTATTGCAATGATGCATTACATTGCCGCCTTCCTCCATCTCCATGCTGAACAGCTGTCACTTATAGAAGATCCGTCCCGCCTTCTGCGATCCGCCGTAGAGAGTCTTCAACCGTGTCCACGCAACCCATGCCTCGTCGCAGTCATCAACCACCTGATGATAGTCCGCGCTCATGTGAAGTAACATAAAGCCGAACGCAATGTTGTTGGTCTTGACGTACTCATCACTGGCGCGAGGATCGGCGAAGGTGGGGGTGGTCTCCCGGTTGACCACGTGCCACGTCGACTTGGTCAGGAACACGCCACGCATGTAGCGGCTCCAAGTCGCGTAGTTGTCTCGATCGAATCTATCGATTGAGATCTTGGTGGCGTAATCTTGAGCAGAGGACATCGTGCTTGGGATCGTAACCTGTTACGATTTGTCGAGCAATGGGCGAGAGAACGAAGCTTGAAAAGCTTGAAAGAAGTCTACACTGCGAAGTGAAGACGACTTGTGTAGGAGAAGGAATATTTGGAAGTGAATTTATGTGTGGGTTTTGTTAAAGCTACCTGATTTATCTCTGCACTGATTTATATGTTGTCCACATATAAATCATGAATCATAAATCATGTAGGTCATCCAATCATCCTATGCGTCTAATCATTGGTAAAAACTCACCGTAATTACGCGGGATCGACTTGGACAGGTTTACGGTTCCCATGGTAGCTGATAACAGTACCTCAACCGTCAACCCACAATAATAGGCACGAAGACTTAGTGTGTCGCCGTCACTGTTTCGGGGCAAGAACTTACTATTACTACACGTACGCTTGAGGACGATTTAAGATTCAAGACCACGTATCAGTAATTAAGTATATTCTAACTTGTTCGTTGTAATTTAAACTGATTACCAAAAATGATTACATTACCAAGTATGACCGTGCTCCCGCCCTTGAGAAACCACTCATTTTAGGTAAGTATATAAGTTGTCAATTTGAGTGTTGTACAGATACGGTTTATAAAGGTACCAGATATCCAGATTGTTGCTTACTTTACCCAACCGTAGGCTTAAAACATTGCGCCTTGGGTGGGCTCTGCTCATCCACGCCCACCCATTCATCAAACATATTCAGCTCCCCCAATTCTCACCCAAGCTATCTTGCACAGCTGGTCAACCGGTTTACAATGCTTCAAATAAAACCATTTGCATTTGGCATCTTATTGGTTTTACGTGACAATTTATGCAGTAACCCGGACGACCGCTGTTGCTGGGGAATCTTGCATTGGGGAAACCTAACAGTTTAGCCGGGGCATAAAGGATCAGTTCAAGTGCAGCAACGTTTTCATGTTTCTTTTACGTATTCATCAGCAGCCTAGGAAGGGTACCACCAGACCAACAATTTTGGGTTCGTGACAATCATAAGTGTGAACACCATGCGGCTCTTATGAAGATTAACTAAGTCATGAAGGGCCACATGGGAACAAGGTCTACGAGACCTGCAAGTGAACCATGATTTCACACGGCTCCGCGTGATATCTCATTTATATGGAAAAACGCACGCAGAATACTTCCTATACGATGACGAAAATGTCGATGAGCGGCAATCTACTTGCAGGACACGCGCTTATCTGAACGACACAGATGGGAGGGGGGGTGTTGAAGCAAGCATGAGAACAGAGATGAAGCGTCGTGATAGATGTTCAGTATTTAAACAAACGACTGGACGCGATCGGGAAGAATAGACACGAGAGAATCAGTACAGGTATTTCACTTATTTTAATGACGCCATACATCTATAAAATGTCAAAGTGTCAACTACGCGTGTTTAATAAGCGTATGATAGAAACAATTTCGTACTATTGCAAAGACGGTGCTTTGCTATCGAGGTTTGATCGAAGAAACAAGATATACTTTATAATGATAGGCTCCAGGCGATTTCTCCGCTTGATGACCGTGTACCCGCGTCCGAAAAATCGCATCCGTACTTCAAACCTGACCAATTTTGATGCTATAACGCACAGATTTGAACCGCTGCGTGGGTCGTAATGGAATCTAGAGATCATCCGGACAATTTACTGCACAGTAGCAAGTTATAGTCAGGAACCTGGCCGATATCCTCCGTCTTGGCCTTCTTCTGTCGGGAAGCATTGTATACAAGCTCTCGCTCGTTTCGCGACACCATCTAACCGATATTTCACTCACCCGAGGTTGATAAAAACCTCCAGATTAAAATCGTCGGCGCAGGAATATTTTTATTTCTGATCAAAATTTGTCCGAACCCTCTCCCCATCTGAGTGCATAGAAGAGAATATGGCAGATAGTATAATATTCTTCTTTTCCGTTGATGTGGGTAATTTATCATTGCCAGCGATACCGCGAAAAGTTCCAAGACGCAACATACAGCTTCAGCTCCCCGCAGATTTGCGCGAAACACTCGCCTAATATTCCGAATGCAGCAAATATGCTTATGGCATGGATTCTAGAGTTGTAACTGTGTGAATCTACTGCAATTTCCATTTGTAGGTCAGGATCGAGGAGATCATATTCTTGATCTCTGTAATTTGTTTTTTGTCCGCTACACCCAGTCGTGGGATGCAGAATTAATGTCTTTACGGGTTCGAGGAATTCTAGAAGACGATGAAGCCATATCATATATCGTGCAATGTGGTCCTTTTAAACTTTCCCAGTCAAATAAACCGAACTGATTTCGGTTAAAATGCAATAAGCCTGTTGAACAAATTTTGCTCGATCATTGCAACCTTCGACAGCTTGTTAATGCTATTCATGACATCAATTACCCCCATCAGCATCTGTTAAACGCTTATAAGACAGCATAGAAGGCAATTCCATCGTTTCGTATTCTCTCGCTTAAGCGTCGTGGTCAATTTGTGTTGTAAGTTAGCTTTTTTAAGTATGCAACTAATTATTTGTATAAAGAATTGATCAGCTAAAAGGTGTGTTGGGCGCAACTTCAGCTACCTGTCGCTTCGTTCACGAGAGAACAAATCCAAGCACAGGTAAAACTTATCTGTAGAAGTAAGATTGCGTTTTCCACCTTAAGCAATCGTGATTTTGTTAATCACTGTCCCAACAACGGTCAAAATCTTGTTGACAAGGCAAGGTTACAATGGGTAAAACGAAGCAATGCCTTCTACGCTGCGATTTATTATAGCAATATCCGATGCATCGATACAACTGGTCGTTTTCAAACTGTCGAAAACTAAAGATGCTTAAGACTTCCCGAAATCCTCCAAGGCAAAAATTGAGGTGTGTCTTGGGTCGCGGACTGGGTTGAAGTGTAGCTTGCGGTCATAACCCCTAACTTTCCGTCGGCAAAGTGAACTGTTACTGACATGCATGATAATTTCTTGACATCTTCAGTCCAGCATTCTTCGGAACTTCCATCAAAGCCACATGACGCCAGTTGATTCATCAGAGAAGACGTAAGATTCACGCGGCCGTCTCCGGCGCGCTTTATTTATCCAGAGGAATCGGTATCGATGCAGGTAGCAGCTCAGTAGAAATGATGTGCTTATCGCATTTGACCCCTATATTGAGCACACTTGAAAGAATGTGTTTGTCACCAATTGCTTCGACGAAATGGAACGGGCGGATAACGAGGGAAAAAAAATTAAGAGCGACTGTTACTCGTATCTTTTGTGAGGTCGTGACAGGATTATACGTAGCGTATTCAATCATCGATCTGGACCCCTCCTGATTGACCCGGCACTGGTGATCTCTCATCGTGCTCGTTCCAGTACTTTCAACGAACATGTAAATTATTTTGCAAGCGAATCAGCCAGCGATTCTGTGGCCACCTTTGTCTTTAAACGGCTTCTTGGTGTCGGTACTGTAGACTACACCAAATGCTGCCAGATGTCACTGTGCTTCTTTCCAGGCATACCCTTTTTGATCTTGTACAGGTAATCGCTTCATCTGAGACCTTGCGCTTAAGCTCGATCGCCACGCTAAAATTGACCAGCTTCACGTTGGGCTTTCGGTTTTGACTATACTACGTTATAGCAGCCTTAGACGGAATATACTCGCTAACTTAAAAAGTTTAAATTAAATTAAAATGAAATGATTTGTTACTACTAAACAGCTGGGGTTTTCTTTAATCTTTAAAATTAAATTAAAGTTAGAGTAAAAATTTAAAATTAAAGGAACAAATGGCCAAGAAAGACTACTGACTAGAGTTGGACTGTATACCTTATTAGATACAGCATAAACAAATAAGCCTCTTACATCGTAATAAATAGCTATGAAGCTAAATTAAATTAAACACTGTGACGTTGCGCCCACCCACGCCCACAAACGCCTGCCACTAATGTTCGGTCGCACCCATGACCATAAAAAACTACGGGCGTGGGTGGGCGTGGGCGTGGATGTGGGCGCCCAATTGGAAAATTCGGAAGGTACAATTACCGTATACCCGGCCGTCAAGTATTCGTATGATAAAATTATATAGCTAGTACTCGTTAACAAGCCAATGGCAACGATCTCAAGGCACAGTAATTAAAACGTTTTTTGGGTCGTATTAGTGACTAGTTCCAGCTAATCCTCAGTAAGAGGATATGTCTCGAGCGAAAGTAAGAATTGATACGTGTATCGCTCAATACGAGACATCTCATCAAGGGCGCTCTCGTTCATTAATGAGCGTTTAAGAACGCGTTCATTATTGGCAAATAATATTGCCAACCGAAAATCAGTTGTGTGCTTTTTCTCCCCGATGAATACCGATACAATCTTGATTTTGACACCACACTGATCGCGCCGTGATACTTTATGCTCTAGATCTCGCAAATTGACGATTGTTGAAGTTGATCTGGAGACGCGATGGAACTTTAAACGCCCACGTACCCAAATTTGATCCGTCATTGACTAAGACATTCGATGTATGTATTTCTGTAAATTTTAGGAGACTTGTTCACTCGGTGTCCTCGAGCTGTGAGTGCGCAAGCGCTGCAATTTTTCTAAATTTTACTCATGATTCGATAAATGGTTATTGTATTGCCAGACCCTGAAAGCATAACACTGCTCTTTAAATTCTTTTCGCTGAGGTAGTATTTATGCCACCGTTCACCAGATTTATTCGAGCAGTAGGCTTTTAGCGCTACTATGCTTCTACACATACGCCAGCAGATTGCTTCACAGAGGAATTTCTTGATGTAATGCAGCTTGTGCTACCGATCTACCCATAGAAAAAAGGTCATCACACTTACTCGTAGTACATCCACAAGTTTGTGAATGCTCCAAGATCTTCATCATACGGACATCTGCTGAAGAATTGGCGGTCATTTCGACTATTGAATTTACCATATAAATTTCGGGAATTGCTAAATTAACACCCCTTTTCCACAGATTCACACCCTTCCTTCAAAATATTATATATAAAATCCCTATTCATTTTAAGATTTGCTTTTTGACAAAGGTATTACTCGATAATCTAGGCCATTAATTGGCAATTAATACGTAAGAAATACCTAAGATACTACTCACGCCTGTGGTCTAGCTCCTCCAGCGTTTACTGATAGGGCACCGCGCAATAACATGCTTCCTCCTCCCGAGGTCGAGTATGCCAGTCGGGAGCCACTAGAGGATACTGTGCAGACGTTCGCACGTGTCCAAGGCTATGCTGTTACGATTGAAAGTTCGATTGCAGGATAGCGTGTCTACCTTAAATGTGATCGAGGTGCCGTAAACGTACCAAAGGTTGAAAAAGAGCGCCAACGCCCGACCAGCTCACGCCGAAATGATTGCATGTTTTTTAAGTGGAAATTTCTCAAAAAAGGGGTAATTGGAAGCTAAACGTGATGAATGGATGCCACAATGACGAGCCGTCACTCCATCCGTCTGGTCATTCGACTCATAGAAAGCTAAATAGCGAGCAGGCCGATACTGTCAGAAATATGACATTGGATGGTGTTAAACCGTTAGAGATTCTTTCATCCCTTCTTATGGAGAATGACGGTGCCCTAGCAAACCTTTCTTCATTGTACAATGAGCGTACGAAAAACGAAACTTCGAGAGGACAAGTTAAATGGAAGGACACCGATACTAGCTCTTCACACCCCTTTTCCTTAGAATCACACCCTTCCTTCAAAATCTTTTAAATAAAAGGCACGCAATCGCCGCTGGACAAAGATGAAAACTTTATCTGCCACTTGGCTACGGGAGATACAGCAGCGCGCAAGATGTCACCCGTAGCCAAGTGGCAGAGAAAGTACTCGTCTTTGTCCAGCGGCGATTCCGTACCTTGTATATCTAAGATTTTGAAGGAAGGGTGTGAATCTAAGGAAAAGAGGTGTGAATTTAGCAATTCTCTGAATTCAAGCTCTTCGCTCTAAAGCCACCTTCAATTAAAATGACATCAAATTTGTCATCCGATTCCAATTTGATATATTTTTGGTCATATCGGACCTCTTTCAGTGTGTAGCAACTTTTTTATGCACGTTTCATTACTGTTACGAACGTATGTGTTGCAAAGCGTACTATCATCCCCGTGGGAGGGGTCTCGCGCTAAACGAGCTTGAGTCTGCAATTTTCGAGAGAATCGTATTGTAAAAGGTTCATAGACACCCCGAAATCGACTAGTGCTCGAAGTGACATATCCTTCGCTATGTCGATCGTCAAGGTAATGAGTGAAACATCAGAACTAGATGCAGTAGCACGCATTAGTTTTGTGCTCAAAGCAACTTTCATCAAAAAGACTGCAAACTGAATTGATGCTTCTGGATCAGCAGGTTTCTCTGTACTTACAATGCTCGACCAATAATTACTGTGCTTCGGACTCATGCCCCTGCATCTTATAGGCAGACTGAAGATCGTTAATCCTAAAGTTTCGAGAACAAGGGTATCGGGAACAGCACAACTTCTTTGCGTAGTTGGCAGACTCCTGACATCTATTGCAGTTCGGAAATTTCTTTAAGTTTGGAAGACGAGGGTTGTCGCTTTGAACGTAGTATCTTTTTACATTTACCGGGGATATCACCTTTATTTCGTCTGTGTGGGAGATAGAAAAATTGTGTTGCACAAGCTTGTCTTACGCTTTAGTCCTCCTGTTTCAAAATTGAAATTGCCTCTTTTATAATTAAGTTGTACTCAACTACGGAAGAAACATGCTGGTCTTGACGGGAACATCCACAAGACCTTGTATACAAAAGTATAAACGCTTGTTCACCGCCTAGATTGATCTTGAAAAAGCTTGTACAATGTCTAATATATCACACGTACATCACGTCTACCCTGATAGAGTTCAGAGTCTCAAATAACCTATCATCAACTCACGGTGGCTCAAAAATTCTTCTGAGGAGGGTCTAAAAGACCTGAAACGAGCCAAAAGTTGACGGGTCATGGAATGTGAACCCTAAGACCCAAGACTTGGTACGTCCTTACAGTTTCTACAGAGCTATTGCGACTTTCATCGCTTCATCGGGGATGTGAAGAGCTCTTATGGCATTTTTCAGCTCCTCAAACAGTAAAAATCAAAAAGTTCCTTCAGCTCTTCTGCTATCGGAGACACCAATAATCAAGGTTTCGGACCAATGCGTGTGTACGATGCCCCGGGAGTAGCATCCTACTGTTGTCTCGACTGTACGAAATATTGAGATCTCTGTTCTCTCAATACGTCTGTCTGTTATGATAATTGTGGTCGATCACACTTACCTTCTTTCTTTGGATGTTGTGTTCACTCTGGGTTAACTTCGCAATGGCGGCATGTTGCCTGTTGTCCCAGAGCCAATAGCACAGCGCTGAGTTCTTCTAATCTAATTGCCAATCCCGTGCGTAAGACGGCATCTTATTCGAATTCACCATACATGTGGAGTGTAATATCAACTCTTTATCATCCAACAGGTTCACGTTTGATAGACGTTCGTAGTCGCTATACGGACTACAAAGTGCTACTGCGTGAAACGATACCGGTTTTATGCACCGGAATTGTACAAGCTGCATTTGTTGGACACACTGTAAGCGGGTGCCCCAAGACTTCACGTAAATGTATATGCAGGGGAATAACAAAGTGTGAATACTTAGTAAAGGTAAAAAACTTGTAACTGCATCAATCGCGAGCACGAAGGGTAAGACTAGTAGTGACTACGCGCAAGGTGATTGCTGAATTTTTTAAATCGTACTTATCCGTGTGTCTGTCTGTGAATTGCGCGGCTAGGTGCAATTTACACGTACTGAGTGCGATCTAGACTGCCCCCCCTCGTTGGTATATAGACATATTCAAGTCACTTCTGGCTAGGTCGCTATTGTGACGCACGCATAGGATTCGCTTCCAATTTGATCAAAGGTGAATACAATCACAAATGCAAATGCTGGACGAACATAAGCATAGGCTGATCGCGTTGCCCGAGTGTGCTGTTCTAATTTCATGCAGACATTAACAGCATGATACTCATTCTTCAGTATTTGCTGCAGTGTCTTGACACTTGATTCAGCTCTCCAAACTGAATGACTTTTATCAAAAGGCGAGCTCCAGAGCTTGCTCCCCTATCGTTAGTACCTGCTCACTACGCATGCACACATCCGTCGTGGATCGGCACTATTAGTAGGTACCATGGCCTATATTAATCAATGAAAAGAGAGTCTTGACAACTGCAATGGAAATCATCTGTTACGAAAATACTGTAAGAGGAGAATTTGCTAGTATTTATTTAGTGATGTAGGCTATGGTGATATCACGTTACAGATACCCTCCGTCACTCTTGGAAGATAATTAGCTGTATAGACATGCTACTATTTGTTACACTGTTTAGCACGACGAAAGACAGAAAAGCCATCCTAACCACGCGCGCATCTTACGCAGTTACATCATGGTCGAATACCTGAAAAGCTGATTCATATTGTACAACAGTTGGCTGCTCGCAACAATATCTCCGTGACACCCACGATCGACCCGTTCGAGGATAATCAGGGTATCGGTCACTCATTTGCGGCACCGCAAATGGCATGCGGAGCCAGCAAGTTTAGTTGTCGAAACGTGAGGTACCTCGGCTGACAGCGTGTTCGGCCTTCTCGAGCTTGACAAGATGACCCGAAGTTACAGCTTCAACCCAATTCTTGGGAAGGTGAAAAACTGTTCATCTCTAGAACGGCACAAAGTTCGCAAGCTAGCCAGTGCATGCCAGTCCATGGGCCAAGAAAATTAAGATAGTAAGGCTTTCTCGACCACTGCGTGGGCGACACCAGTGAGAGTCTAGCGCGATCTCTTGTTTTCTCGGCTCTATTTTGACACAGAAGAAAGTAATGACAATGCCTGAAAGTGTACAAGTCTCTTACAAGACAAAAAAACATTCGCACAAGAAATCCTGATCAAATGTGCCCGGATACTTGATCCAAGTCATTTCGCAATGACTTGTTGTCGGTCAGCGTATAACGCTTGCGCATCTCACACGTGAATTGCTGCCAAAATCCTGATACTTGTTCCAGTTGAGCACTTGGCACTTTCGGAGGTCCATAATCAGTTTGAGTCAAATTTTCGTGACAAAAGGGGCACTCGTTGAAGCTGGCATCAGCGCTATAATCCTGCTGGCATAGTAGCATAAGCAGCATCGAGCGTGTCGTCTGTCAACAAGTTCACTTGCAAGTATCCCTGTGATGTTTGGTACGACTTTGTCGATTGGACACCGCAAAGGAGGCGGTGGGATGTCCGTACAACCTGTAGCGAAATTCATATCCATAGCCGAATGAAGCGTCAGTCATGTTTTTTCGCAAATCTTGACGTCACGAGAAGTTACTGATTTGCGAAGATGTAAATTCGTCGTAGCAGCTTCATCCGGATTGCGGCAACTGCTTGCAACGGCTACAGTCGTATTGATGGCCCTCCACGACGAAACAGTCAACCCGACGCTAACACCCGCCCGCATTGTTTGTCCGGGCAGCTATGCTTGCGAATAGTCGAAGAGGAAGATGAGCATATCCCACGTCCGAGCACGCCTTATACTGCCAGAGTTTTCCTCCTGACATGGTGTTGCTATCACCAGGGGACATCGTCCGACGTTAGCAGTACGTCTTCGGATATAATGGCGATAAATAGCGCTTACCTATACTTGACGTTTTTGTTATCGCCTTGGTCGTCAATCCGTCAGCCGTGTCCACGGATACGAATAGCATCTGATTGCTGACGCACGTATCACTCATACGCCCGGAAAAGTAAACTGCGCATCCTGTGTTGCTTCTACCTTCATGTCCGCAATCAGCTAAGCGTTTTGCTCAGCATAGCGTTCTCCTTGCCACAGTCACCATTCAAGTTCCTCGAGTGTAGTCCGTTGCTAGATAATAAATCGGGTACGAGCTACTCGCTGCTCGATATCTTTTGCAGTCCTGCCACATCAAGATGACGGATGCCTCGTTCAGTGCATGAGAGAACGAATAAACACAAGTTACACAAACCAAACCTCTGAGCACGTAGAACCACAGGATCACTCGCTACCGGCTTGTGCACGTCCGAATAGTCGGGAGTGATTCGCCGACCGCGAGCATCGTCGCGCTTCTTACTATCCGCAGCCATTTTAGCCACCTCGGTCTTCATCGAAACGAGATCGTGTAGACAGTCACGAATACGACTGTCTCGGTCATATTCTTCTGATAGCGTAGCTAGATCATATCGAGAGCTGCTGCATCATTTAAAAGACAACAATATTGTAACTACAACAGAGTAAAGGGCTGAGACAGTTTCGACAAGATTGTTGTAGTACCTGTCCACCGATCCAACGGTACCGCCAGCGCTCACGCAACCATCTTCAACATATTTCAACAGCGCCTCAAGAGCGTAAAGCTTGATGAAGAATGCGTATGCCGCGATTCCCGCTAGGCGGGACGTCTCACGCATATAGTTCTTACCAAGCCCTCGAGCTTGCTTGTCAGTGTACACAGCTTCTCCATCTGCAAGGCTCAGTTCTGCTTCGCCTTCTGCGGTTATGAGCTCCATACGGGCATCTGAACGAACCGGCAAAAAATCGTGTCAGCCATGTGCAGCAAACTGGCTACGCGAGTTGGCCTACCTTTCATGTGCTGCACAATTTCCGGGCGAAAGATGTCGGCTTCAATGAGCGTACGCGTTGACTTGTTGCGCGAATGAAATTTGTCTTCATTTCGGAGCACAGTGAACACGCTATTGGAGAGCACCCAACTACATGTGAACAACACAAACCACATCACCTTCAATTCATGTAAAAATTCGTAAGCTTGCAAATGTTTTGTGAATCGTACCCTGGCGAGATCTCATTGATAGCTGGAGAAAGCGATGAAATGTTATGACCTGGTGTGCTAATTAGCGCAAACGGCATCGTCACTAGCTGTGGTAGTGTGTTGACCGCAGTTGCGATAGCAGAATACGGCGCCTTTACGTAATTGGAGGGGAACTTGATATTGCACCCTAGTCCAAAAAACACCCCCTCACCATGAAAAATCTCTTGGTCAGGCGCTCTCAAAGTATGATTGCTACCAACGTTAGCTCCATATCCAATGTTTCCTTTGCCTTTTGGCCAGATCGAGGCAATCAAAAGCGCCTGATGGTGAAACCCCACAAACGGTCCCACAAAACTAGACGTCACTTCTCCTGCAGCGATTGACGTATTTGGTCCAATGACAGAGCTCATGACGACCCCATGGCGCTTGACATGCGATGTATCGCACAAAAACGATCCTTCGACCACACTGAGCGTCTCAACAGTCGAGTGCCACTGTATGATCGACCCACGGACACTGCTTTTGCTTCGAACGATAGACGGTTCTTCTGCAGTCGACAAGATCGTCGAGTTGACAACATCGCAGTCTTCAACGACTGCCAAATGTCCAACAAAAGTCCCTTGCACACGGAAACAGCCCCAGACACGAGCGTGCGGTGCCACGATCGCCATCGGCACTTTTACCTTTGACACATACTCGTCGACAAATGCCTCATACGTTGCCACGAAAGCGGCATTTTGCCTCATGTTTGTTGCAAGCGCAGCCCCTAGAGCAAACGGCAAATCTGCCACGACACGAAAACAGCGACCGCCTGTCTCGTTTCCCACATGCAGCAACATGCCGTTAGCTGCTGATTCTTTTGACTCAGGTGCTGCTCCGTTTTCTGCGTCTGGACCTGTGACACTACCGCACTTGATGACAGACGCTCGCGTATCCACAAGCACATCCCTAAGCACGAGCGTGTCCTTCACGAGTGCATCGTTAAGAACAACGACGTGACTCAGCACCGAGTTGTACAAGCCACAAGGGAACGGCACTCCATCCACGTTGTGAGTGAAGGCCGAGGAGAAGCTGCCAAGCACCACTTTTCCGGAAAACGCGCACTGCCGGATGCGCGACGTCTGCAGTGACGCACTCTCGGTCGTTTTCCGCACCTTTTTCCAGTCTTCAGCTGCGTTCAGTAAGAAATTTGTAAGAATCAGATGAAGTTTTGTGCCGATATCTGAGTCGCTTGCCTATCGATGAACGTACCTGAGTTCCCATTGCCTTCAAGCGCGCAGATCTCCGCGTCTGTGAGCGGAAAAAAGCTGTCCAAGAAAACCTTGTGGCAGAGCTGGACGTACTGTACGTGATCGGACGCAAGGAGCGCCGACAGCTCGTGCACGTGCGTGTCTAAGACGCCGTCGAGCGGCTGCAGCTTGTCCATGTGAAGTCGATGTGTAGATTTTGTTTTGTCCAATTGAAAGGCGCAGACGTGTTTCGGGTAGTTTGATTGGTGAAAACATGATTTGATGAAGCACTTTGTTTTCGTGAATGGTAGACGGCTGGATGATGAAAGTGGTCGATCTACATAATTCAGATGAGACCAAATTATGTGGTAGTAGTAGTCTTACTACGATACAGGCTTCTTGGTTATTGTTGCTCCTTTTCTGCTGTTGGCTAAGAAATACATTTCATGACCGCGAATGAGTCGATTCTGCAGACGTTGAGTACTCACATATACCACTTCATCATAGACATCAATCTACGCATTCTGCTGGTCAGAATGAATGAGTACTGCTGTGCTTGACTCGTGGCTTCATCAGCGAGACTGTTGACATCGCCGTTCGATCAGCACTGAAATACACCATCCTTGCTCCAGCACCTCGCGAACAACAGCGCAGTCCATCAAAACTGCTTGCTGCAGCAGCAACTTTAATCCACCAAGAGAGACAGGTCCGCCACACGAGAATCTTATGACCTGCCAAGGCTGAATCCTGGACGACCGATGGCCACTTGAGTCGTTTTCTGAGCTTTGATGACCTTGCGCATGTCGCCTTGGCCAGCTTTGGTGCCTGACGTAGCAGTTCTAGAGCCGGTCGATCCAGAGTCTACATTAGACACGCCACCGATGTTTCTTGTGGCTTTGTCCTTCGCTGCCTGGGAGATGGACGTCTGCCAATTAACTTGCATGCTGCCGCTCTGCTTCAATAACTCACGGACAGCAGCTGTTGCGTCCACGCCGTAGTCCAGATCAAATTCAAGCACTAATGCACGATAAGGTGTGCCTTCCGTAGATTCTTGCGACGCATTTTCTGCTGCGATCTCTCGAGAAATGGTATCGTGCGAAAATGCAGACGAGTCTGCGAGTAAGGCGTCGACATCGTTCGAAACCAAAGGTTTGTTCGGATCCGTGTAGCGCTCCAACCGGAATGACACGCGAGTAGGCTTTTTCACTATGTGGCGGTACGATCCGTCTAGTATGTATGCTTGACTTCCGTCCGGACCGAAATGCGCATTCAAATCGATACCGTCTGTCGTAAGCATTTTCCGGTACGCAGTGCCGATTTCGTTGGTGGGGTACTTAATTGCATGTCCTGGCAGTGGCAGCACCACATCCTCGATCGAGTATTGGTCCACGTTATCCTCAGTGAGTTCCACAGTCTCCTGCACGGGTTGTCTCTTTGCACTCTTTTCAGTCCGTTGTCGCTTCCTTGTCGGTTCGCTTGTTCCGACATGGCTTTCTGACGTTCTCAACCCGATGTTCTTCGCAAGGACAAGGTCGCCAACAACAGCTGACGTCGATGAAAACTTCGCCATTCGCATACTCGCCATCTCATTCCACACGAAATACTGGTACGCTTGTACGAACGATACACGGAGTTGCTTCGGAATGGTATTGAAGGCTGGTTCGTGTGCATCCAAACCATGCTGTTGGAGGCCTTCGAGGACCGCTCGTTCTAGTACCAGGTACGGAGGAAGCATTCGCAGAGCGGCTGTCATATCTTTGTGCTGACGAAAACTTTCTCTTGCAGCGCGGATCTTACTAGCTTCGCCCTCTTGTGGGCGGAGTACTAACAACACAGCCATTTTGTAGTCCTTGCGCAACACTGCACGTCCAAGCAAATGATAAGAAGTGCTGGTTTTACCGAAACGGTGTAACCCGAAAAAGTTAACGAACCCGCGTGTTTCCCAGCTACTCACTGCCTGACTCACATCGTCCTTCGACAGCTCCTTTTCATCTTCAGGCAACGATCGAATCACCATGGTAATGCGGTTGCCAGCGCAGTCGCCAAGCTCAATCTTCCGTGACACGTAACGCATATCGCCCACCAGATACGGCTGTTCTTCCAGCTTTTTCGAACCGCCTGGACGAAGCACAAGCTGCGCCCGATTTTTAGGCACACGATACACCGTACAAAGCTGTGTGGTGATTGCGCGCTTATCCTTCACTTCTGCATACGAAAACGCCGTCGGGGGAACCTTCAACATGGACGCGAGCTGATTAACCATGGATGTCATTCCCTTGTTGCGCTTGTAGAGCGTAAACTGCAAGTAGTCGGCTGCAAAACATCACGACAAAAATCCACTCGTCACGTTAGTGCTTTGTATATCCTCAACCCAACATCGAAACACATCAAGAAACTTACGCTGTCCGACCGGCCAGTCCCTGCTTTCATCTCTCTCGCCTGGCAACAATCGCACTGCGAATCGGGGTCGAACTCGAATAACTGCCGTCTCGCTGCCCACATTAAGCGTGTCAGCCACTATCCTCATCTTTCCATACCTCCTCATTGTCTCATGAATAAAGACCCGATCCGCCTTGTCGTTCAGTCCACCAAGATAGAACGTCAGTCCATCTGCTGCTGCTGCCACCACAGCAGTCGTAAGGTCAGCCTTTTTCTCGCGCTGCTTGGCCTCAAACTCAACTTGAGCCTGCTCCACGCGCTTGAGAAACTGCTCAAACTCTTTGCCTTTTTTCACACCAATCTCCTTGGACACGAGCTGCACCAGTTGCCGCAAATGATACGTTTCTCGAGCCTGTTGACTGCAAGTCTGCTGCTTGAGCACCGCCTGCTGCAGTTTGCCCCCAAGTTGACGCACCAAGCTCTTGATTGGGTCGTCCCCGTCCTTCTGCAAGGGTCCAACAGTTTCGCTGCCTATAGGATCCCTAACCTTCAGCACGAAATCCAGCACCCGCTCTTGAAACACGTGCACCACGTTCCGGCTCTTTTTGCCACGTTCTGGAGCACCACCGGCATCTTGGATCGAGCACTGAGCTCGTGCACGAGAAATTCATCAAACCGGTGCTGCAAAACGCCCTTGAACCCCGCTTGACTCGGCGTTCGGAAGCCCGAGATGCCCGCGACGTCTTCTGCAATGTACACGCTCTCGTGGTCGTTGTACCCTTCGCCTCGGAAACACGCAGTGGAGTGGACATTGCGGCCGCGACTGCTGCTGTTGCGTCGGAACTTCCAGTTGTTGTGCTCGGGGCGACGGCTGCTCGAGAAGCGACGAGACGTCATGGACCAGTCAGTGGGGTGCCTTAAACTTGTCCCGAATGAGCAATTTGCAAATCAATTAATTTTTAATTTATTTAATTTGAGTTGATTTGAGTTGATTTGTGACTGCTTTGAATCGAGGGCGTGTAAAAGCACTGAAATACGTGAATAGCAAGATGTGCAGGTTGATTGTGCGACGGATGTGTCACTCGAGCAAGGGAAGGAGGCCTGATCCGTGCTGTGATTGGTCAATAAGATCAAACGTCGGACAACCAATCGAATACAGACCTCATTGTGTCCCCGATCATGGACGTCGAAGCGGCGGACAAAGTGCGCGCCGAGGCGCTGCTGCTCCAGACGCTGCACGCTCAGGATACAATCGCTGACACGTACGACTTTGCACTGGCGAACGACCTATCGCATGAGCTCGTTGTGGGCGTCATGAAGTCGCTGCTTGTCGACGCGTTCGTGGTCGACGTGGCGCGTGCGACGTCTTTTTATGTGCTCAAGCCTGAAGCCGCGCTATTTTTGGCCAATGGGTCGCCCGAAATTCAGGTGTACCACGCTATTCCGGAAGAAGGTATCAACCGCACGGCATTGGAGACAGCGGTCGGTGCTGCCACGTTCAAGGTGGGTCAAGCCGTGTGTATGAAGAACAAGTGGATCCGCTTGGACAAGAGCAGCGGCAAACTCTATCGCCATGTCCCCGAGGTACAGGACGAAGTCTCGGCGCTCCTGCGTCGTGTTGAGGCAGCCAATGGCGCAGTCTCAGCCATCAGCAAAGACGAGGCAGCTGTGCTCAAGCGGCGCCAATTGGCCGAAATGCGTACGCGCAAGTCGTACGCGCTGACCCGAGGGGCTCAGTTTGCGTTGCAGAGAAAGAAACAGGCTGCTGGCTTGACCAAAGAAATGCTCGATGGGTAAGTGAAGAGAGAGCGGGAGAAGAGAGAGACGTAGAGGCAGGATGGTGGTGGAGATATTGAGGATGGTTGATGGTTGTGCTTGTGAATGCAGAGAGGCGTGGAAGAAGGAGACGTTCAAGCCTTACAATTTCAAGACTTTGGGACTAAATGTTGGTGGTGGACACTTGCATCCGTTGATGAAGGTCCGTGCCGAGTTTCGTCGCGTGTTGATGGACATGGGGTGGGTGGTTTTGTTTCTTGGAAGGAGGAGAGGAAGAGGATAAAACACGACTGATTGTGTGTTGTTGATGATGGCGGTGACGTGAGTAGGTTTCAGGAGATGCCGACGAACCGCTACGTGGAAAGCAGCTTTTGGAATTTTGACTCGCTCTTTCAGCCACAGTCACACCCTGCGCGCGATGCCCACGACACTTTTTTCCTTACTCGTGGGTTTTTAGAATAGACGTGGACTGTGAATGCGTCATAGCTGACGTGTTATTGTGGATTTTTGTGCAGAGCCCAAGCATTGTCTAACAGTGCCAGAGGACTATTACCAGCGTGTCCACGACATGCACGAAAACGGTGGCTTTGGTTCTATCGGGTACGCTAGCTATTGCGATGTTGGTTTGTGGAGTGCTTCAGACTCATTCACGTGGACGTTTGTTTGCTCACTTCCAGTCATGGTCGCGGTGCTTTCAAGCGTGAGACGTCCATGACAAATATTTTGCGTACGCACACGACGGCAATCTCGGCGCAGATGCTGTACAAGCTGGCGAACCAGCCTGGTGGTTTTACTCCTCAGAAGTACTTTTCCATTGACCGTGTATTTCGTAATGAGAGCATGGACGCGACTCACTTGGCCGAGTTCCATCAGGTTGAGGGTGTCGTGGCTGACTACGACCTCTCGCTTGGCGATCTCATCGGTATTATCAAGGCCTTCTTCTTCAAGATCGGCATAACGCAGATGCGTTTCAAGCCGGCATATAACCCGTACACGGAGCCCAGCATGGAAATCTTCGCCTTTCACCCGGACTTGAAGAAGTGGACTGAGATCGGTAACTCGGGCGTGTTCCGCCCTGAGATGTTGCGCCCGATGGGTCTGCCCGAGAACGTACGTGTCATTGCCTGGGGTCTGTCGCTGGAGCGTCCTACGATGATCAAGTACCGGCTGAACAACATTCGCGATCTCTTTGGCCACAAGATTGATCTCGAGCAGACTCGGTCGGCCAAGCTTTACCGCTACTAGACGGGTAGGAGCAAGAAGACGCCAGTGCTGATCCGTCTGGCAGGTAGCAGCGACGATATATGCAGTCTCAACACAGATGGGAGCGTAAAGTACGCGTCTGTGCCGTTCAATTGGTGCCCAGATAAAGGGATGCGAACCCGAAGCATCGAATGGCTCTATGGTGGTTGTAACTCCAGTCACCGTCATGGTATTGGCTGCACATGTGTGTCTATCTAAACTTATTGAATGCGAACGTACTCGTCTGCATGCATTGACTAGTATCCGAACTCTGTAGCTACTTTCTTCGCTTTCTCCCAGATAATGAAAGTGACGATGGTGTGTGGGCCTAGCCGCATGTAGTGTGCTGCCCAGCCCTTGTAGAAACCTCGAATGCCTTCGCTATTCAAGGTCTTCCTGAAACAGTCCATCACACCCGAGTACAGTTTACCCTTGCCGTTCACGACTTTCTGGCTATAAATCCGTGTCGACACGACATCAATCGGGTTCATCGCCATCGTGACCACGAGACCGGTCAAAATACTCGCTACAGCATTACACCTCTAGTCAGCATCCTACCGCCGATCCTACAAATCCACACACAACAAAGAAAAAACAACGTACAGCTCAAATGAACCCACACGCCATCTTCAACTCCTGCTGCAGCCAAGACTGTTTTCAACTGCGTATACGTAGCCAACTGCGATGCAGAACCAATCTACACCACAAGCACCAACAAAGATCAGCCACCTCCACTATCAGCAATTGACAACCCCACGATTGTTTCCAACGTACCGCAACACGTGGTATTGATGCCGTAGCGCCACGATAAATCCCCGTGATTCCGTCCGTCCTGATGATCTGACGGAACCCATCCATCTACATCTCCAATAGCCATAAAACAAACCAACCAGCCAGCCAGCACACTATCAGCATACCTCCACCATCAATGGCACCCTACACCCCGTAGCTCTTCTCCCTCCATTACCATTCCTTTGTACGCGTACTGGGCATTAACGTGTCCACACGAACTTGCTGCTTGAATGCGTGCCTTGACGAGAAAGAAGGGACTGCCAATGAATGCCCCAATCATGCCTGAAGTAGCAGCAGCGCAGACGTTGCGCAGTGGGAACGAAAAAGCAGTAGCATCCGTAGCACCAAACACCTTCTGAAGTGGCTCGTAGAGGCCCAGACGAGGGCCGTTCATAAAGATCTGGTACGAAATACCCGACCCAAGACCCCGTTGAATGCCACGCAGTCCTTCCGTCCGTCCTATGGTGTACAAAGCATGAGCAAAGTTGCGGTACTGGACCGTGGGCGCTACTGCGCGTCCTGTGACATGAGGCACGAGCTCTCCTTGCAGCTGCATCCGCGTCTTGATGACTTCCATGGGGTTCGAGACGACGCAGGCGCCACTGGTGGCGATACTTCCCAGTACAAAGTCCATTAGAATCCCGCGGTCGCTCATTTGTTTTTAACGTCAGCTGCTACTACTTCAGAGTCAGGGTCGTTCCGAGCGGTTTTTATGACGTCACTGCAGCGAGGGACTGCCACGACGAGTCTCGAGCTGCGCGCACACGTCGCAGACCAAACCGGTGACTGTTGTTTTATTTAAAATGTGTTTGAGTATGGACCTGTTTTAGACGCTGTCCGACTCGTCGTCCTGGAGTTCCAGGTGAATATCTGCCTCGACAATGTAGGGTATGCCTTCGATTGATCTAGTAGCAGGCAAGAGAGTGAACACGATGAAAATCTCGTGAAGCAAACAATCCGTTGGTTCAGGGATTTGAAAAGCGCATAAACGTACTTCCTCGCCCTTTTTGCAACAGCGTGAGCAGCTTCAACTTTTAAATCGGGTTGCACCACAATTGCAACATCAACGACCGTGCCTTGGTGCGGTATCCAATGCGTGTTGATGTGTGTGGTCCCAGTGATCTCCGGGATCGTGGCGAGCGCGTAGCTGATATCGTTTTTGATCTCTCGATACGGTCGCAAGTCTTTTTTGGAGGTCAAGTCGCCTGAACCACGGTTTGAGTAGCCAAGCTGGTCTGCAGTTGACATGTCAACCACTTGATTAGCAAGAGATTGACGCTGAAAACACAACTGCAGAATGTACGGTACCGAATTGAACGTCGAGGTGGACCAATACTTCAGAGACGTCCGGCACCTCTTTCAAGATGTGGGATCGCACTTGTTTCGAAATCTACAACATGCCACCACAAACAGGGTAAGCTCGATGTAATAGCTGAAGACATTTGAGCTTTTGTTCGTGCCAGCGCCAAATGTGGAATGACGTACTTGCTGAGCCATCGATATACTTGTCCGCGCATCAAGCTACAGGGAGATCCAGAAACAAAGTCAGGTTACGTACAGCAAACAAAAGTTATAGTAGCGTGAGCGTACATGGACGCGCAAGTCCACTAGCGTATATGGCCCCATTCGACGGGCCCGGACTTGCGATACATGCAGTACATCCTCGACACTGCCGGACTAAAAGGATCTCAGGACAGAAAAATGAGCTGGACAATACCATCAATTCAACATCCATGTGTGCCGTGACGCACCACTTCTTTCAGCGTTTCGAGTACCTCTGTCTCGACAGTGTTGTCGGTGAGCTCTTGAACGCTGCACGTACGAGAAACAGTACGTTCGAGGATCAAGTCGACTTGTAGCAGCTAGATTGATACAAAGCACATTCAGGTGGCACCTGTCCAGACAGATTTCACCACCAGTCTTCACGATCATCGCTGCGACAGCCATACCAGCAACTGTTTACGTGGACAACAGGGCTGATAAGTTGCAAACGACAACGTACGCATACGATCCTGCAAGTGCACCTGGGTCAAGGAGAGGCATCCCCGCCATCGAGCCAATAATTCCACCAAGCGCCACGACAGAAGAAATTGCATCTGTGCGATGGTGCCACGCATTTGCAATCAACACCTTGCTTTTTGCTTGCTGGCCAATCTTGACAGTCACCCGAAACAAAGCTTCTTTTGCTGCAATGGACAACCCCGCTGCTCCAGCTGCAAGAGCCCATTGCGTGCTTCGATCCATGTCTATATTGCACTCATCGGGTAAACACGGAACAAGTTAATCACACGATATTATTGCAGCAGCAGAAACAACATCCAACGCACCTGAAAGATACAGCAAGTTGAGATCCGGTAACGTCGTTGCGATCTCGCCATTCCAAATTTGCTGCATCGCCTGCAGTCCGTCGGCGCCGATCCCGATACCACAGAGAACTAAAATGGCACCCACTGAGAGCGACCCCACCGCTTCGTACTTTCCATAGCCTAACTCATGATGAACAAGGGTGAAGCAAACAACAACACAAAACCCGTCATGAGATCCAGCACGTCCTTTTTACTAAAGAGAAAATAAAGACTAAAAAACAACATAATCCAGTAACAACAAAGCACCACTAGCGAACCGTAGGGGTGTTTCTGATCAGGAGGTAGTCGCGCGACTTTGACACTCCAGAGCGTCACGACATCCGACAGTAGATCTGACAGCGAATGGGCCGCATCAGCAATTAATGCACTCGAGTGAATAGCTACACCGACTGCACCCTGTTATCATGTTAGAGCGTACCCATCATAAACAAACCAAAATAATATATCGATTACGATCTTGTATTTTGTCAGTAAGTAAGCACAATACCAATTGTCTCAATTACATATATGTATCATATATATGTACATGTATCTATTTGCACTGCACCTTGGTCGCCGCCATTGCCACATTGACGTACATGCCAAGGCGTGTGATTTTTATCGCCTCTTTGCCCTGACTCAAAAACAGCGTCTGCACCTCATCTCGCCCGTTTTGGCTGCGACTGGATGACTCCGAGCTCAGGTGTTTGATAAGTCGGACCTCCTGCCATTGCAACGGTCTTTGTTTGGTAGAGACGTGGCGACGAAGAGGGACAAAGTGGTATCGACTTGCCGTGCAAAAGGGGTTAAAGACGCTGCCGGGCGCACGCCACATGCTGAAAGTCTCACTTAACGGAACCTATGTCGGAATCCTTTTCAACTCGATCACTTGACGAAAATAGCGAGACCCTTTTCAAATTGATCCATTTTATCGAACGTCCGTGGAGATTGATGAGTCGATATTCAGTATGTCTTATTTATGGTATACTCGCGATTGTCCGTTCTTGTAGCGTTCGGACGATAAACAAGGGTAGCCCGCTCCGCAAAAAGAAGTATCAAGTCGTGTCGACCACCGAAGCAGCAACAAGCTTTTCATGGAAGACGTTGGTGCCGTATCTGTACTGGATAATACTGTAGTCGTATGTAAGATTGCATACCGGCTCCATCATCTTGACCTTGTCGTCATGGATTTTGTCGTAACGAATTTGATCGTTCATCATGTCAGTTTACCTCATGATCTGAATGCTGCCGTTGTAGCGGGATGAGCATGTTGCATTTAAAGACACCTAACAGCTGTCAGCTGGAATATTATTTTAAGGGACTGTATTTTCCACCACACTTTGACTGTTTCCACCACACTTTTACCTTTGTACACCTCACCATAACTTTTGTTATTTGATAACTACAGGCGCACCACGCCACACCAGACTACCGCACCACAACACCACTGTAACTCCCGCCCTTAACTACGATCTCTGATCAGCGCATCCTCGACTAATCAAAATAATGCCAGTGATGGGCTCAAAAAAATATGGCAACGCTTAACAGCTGGATTCATTTTTATATGACTGGGTCATTCTGATTCGATATCAGAAGTAGCTCAGAAATATGCCCAATTTAGTCAGGACTGGATCCCGAATCCTCAATTCACTATTGCTGTTCACTCACTTACCCGTGCTTAGCCTAAAATGAAGCTGTCAGTGCATTTCGCTGCTACAACCCTTCTACTTTCCTTGCTTCCTGGCCAAGCTCCAATCCTATGAGTGACAACAAAACTCGTGCATTTTTTAGTACGCGCAAAATAATACATTCTGAGAACCCGCAACTGCGGCCCTGTCACTGCAGTTATGTGCGATACATTTGGATGTCCCGCATCCTCCTCGTCGTGTCGATGTGACGATGGCACAAACACCTTCGTCTCGAGTACATATATTATGCTTCTTAAAGAATGAGCTGTGTCCCGTATGCCCGCGTTACCAATTGAAAGACGTGCTGATTTGTACTGGCAGAAGGGCATCTGTCCAGTTACAAGCAAGGTGGTGATTCCTTTATTACAGTGAAGATGGCATGGAGGTCATGAAAGGGAAGCTTGATCTTTCACCGGAACCATCCTGTGGAAGATCTATGTCAACATCAAGGCCAATTGAGTTCGTGACGCATGTACCAAATATGCTTTGATCAGCAAGTACAGCTAAAGAGATGGAATACTGGGTCTAGCCATGCGTAGCTGCTGTGGCGCTTACGATGTCAGAAAAACCGAATGGCCAAGTGCTGGAGTGCCGAGCGATACCTGTGCGTACGCCACGGACTGAGACGCACTATCCGCTTCCTATAAAATGGGAGAATCATTAAATGTTCGCGGATCTGAAAAGTAATTGGATTTGGAGGAGATGTGACCTAGCACGCGTTCATGGGAAATGGCTGCTGGATAAACAGACAGCGATAAAGGATTCGTTCATTTATGAAGTGGTAATAATCAAGACCGCTTACTTGACTCGCTGTAGATTAGTGCACGCAAGTGATGGTGCCGTAGATGATTAAGGATTTGAGAGAGGTATAAAAGATGCTCTTAGTGCCGCAAACAGCGGTAATCATTCACTGATACTATATCCTTTTTGCGTGACACAATGTGGTCGATGTGAACAGCGTGGGGATGAGCCAGAATTCGACGCTGCATCAATGCGTGCGTCTCGTGCTACTTTGCACGGGCAAGTGAGCAGGTAATCAGTGATGGTAAATAAGAGTATTTGAGATCTACTACTGACGAAATCGAGCGTATTTTCGAACTACTTATAATATCGAATCGGAATGGCCCGGCCGAATAAAATGAGCCTATCCGTTTAGCATTTGCCAAAAGTATCGGCTAATACTATCATTTTTATGATGAATGTTCGTGCGCAATTTGATGTTCGATCTGTCGAGGAATAGCACACAACTCGCTTCCTGTCATTGCCTCAAGCTCTTCCTGCCAATCAATTACGTATTGCAATACGTCTCGTAAAGCAGCTATATGTCGTTGGACCGCTTGGACTTGCTGCCTCGTCCAAACTTCTTTTGCAAAATAACAAGAGCTTTTTATCGTGCTATCGATCGGGTAGAAGCTGATAGAAAAGCAAAATCAAGTTTGGTTCTACCCAAATTTGAAATCTTTCCACCGGATAATCCAGCGCAAAACGTACCATAACAGATTCTGTCGAAGCGACATACAGACCGAAATCCATACGAATCCAATCTTCTGCATACACTGGACCGTCAGACCCTCATCTAGTATGTTACTAAGTCGCTGTACAATGGTGTTAAGCCTTCAGCAATGTATACACCCTGGGTCTTGGCGAGTGCGCATCTTCCACAGCGAATACACCCCATCTACGATGCATAGTCTTGTCTCATCCTTTGACTCATTGTCGCTTGTTTCTTTTGTGGCGGGCAGTAGCGGGTATGCGATTGTCAGCTGATCTTTTCATCCAGATTTTGTATCGGACGTTAAAGCAATAGATGGCGGCCTCTGTAGTGTATTGATGTAAAAGTGATGTGTAAATGACGTGACTTCTGGACTGTAAACCTGACGTGGGCTACTGAAAGACATAAGCCAACGAAAAGCAGGTAAGAATGTGTGGAAACAAATTGGCTGCTCCTAGGTAATTTCCACACTTTGTATCGATGTTACAGCTAGAAAGTCTTCTACTATCCGTTTACAAGAGCGTGTGGCGTTTTGTAGCATCTATCGTTATGTGCCTGAAAATATTCGAATAGCAGTTATGGTGTGGTGTAGGTAGCAAAAAGTAAACGGTGTGGTGGCAATCTTAAAAAGCATGGTGGATATCGTAAAACGTGTGGTGGAAATAGCAATTCCCTTATTTTTGGGAGCTGCTAATGAGCCTTCAATTTTTGCTGATAAGCCTCCACCCCACACAAATCAAGTAATTTAATTTGAATACTTCTAAACTGACAAATTGTTGATTTACTTTTATGCTTCACATTTCTAAATTTTCAGTTGAGACTGAACCAGAAAGATACGATATTTCCACGAGAAGTGGCCTATTCGACAGGTGAGAGCACTTACATACAGGTTCGCACCGGCCTAATTAAGGTGAATATCATCCCGCCCTACACCACCTTCCTCTCACTTTTAAGAGGACGACCCCAAAATGTTCCGACGACGGCACTTTGTGTATGGTACAAACGTATTCAGACCATCTTCCGCATTGACGTATAAATAGACGATCGTGAAAACACAATACACCTGTTGTATCCTGCATAATCTCTAATTGTGCTTGAGTGCTATAAGATTACCGTCTTCATAAACCTGCTGTTGTGGACAGCGTTGCATGAGCATTGCACATACACTGCTTTAACATCACTTTAAATCGTGTCATTCACCCTTTTCTGCCGTTTAATTGCTGTGACATAGTCTCCGGCAGCGTCAGCTCATCAAGCGCTTGACAATATTCGTCAGCAAAAACAAGCAGATCTTCTGTGATCTTGTTGAGGCCTTCCATGTTGCTTTTTAGAAAAAAGGTAAGAGGTATGATAAAGTAGCTTATACGAGATCGATAACTGTTACTCCTTTAACGCACAACAGAACAATTTGACAATTTAAGGGTTAAATCCAATTATATGTTTAATGTATAGAGTTAAGGCTCATTCACGATAACTAAGTCTCAGTAGCGGCTCCCCTATCTATAGGTTAGTAGTATACAGGACAATAACGTTAGATGGTAATGTTCAGAAGCACTTGCTCAATGGGAAGATAGAAGCCATGATACCATTCGTCTCAGCGGTCTAATAAATGATGGACGCACGCGATAAGTTGTAAGCAAGACTTCTTTACACGTTTTTGTGGATAGATATAATGAAGTCAGGACCAAAACATAGGCAATTGATGAGAAAATACCAATATTTAATGCTGTTTCACTTTCTTCCTCTATTAAGCAAGTGTTTGATAGTCAGTCTTTCTCTGCACGTACTGCATACGTGAAGTTGCGCACGGCACTGCTTACACTGTGACATTGTATATGGACTTGTAAGGTGTCGTTACAAATCACCAGTGCCTCGTTACAGCCCCAGTTTATCATCGTTTCAACTTCAACATCATAGCTGTGGTAATGCAATGTTTTGCATTTTTCGTGCATCAGCTTTTGAGCAAGAAATGCTCAGAAATGATAGTTACATCTGAAGATGCATAAGAAGTAGCAGTGGAGCTCAAGAACTTTCGCAGTCAGATTGGTACTGACGACGTTTCATCCAGGACAGCAAGTCCTGCTTTTGACTTAGGCCACAAAGGATCGGGCATGAAAATCACAAATGCTTCACTATATATGTCAAGTTCGTAAGCGAGGCCACTGTACGTAAATAGTCCAAGATGCTGATACAGATTGATCGTGACCAGTAGTCAGTAGGTACGTCAGAAAGCTCGATAAGACTTTTGCTTTCCTTGCTAAGATCATCGGCTATTATGACGGTGACTGCATAGAGTATGAAGGTTCAAGCTGCTCATGCTTAACTAGACCACCAGAAAAATCTTTGATGTATGTCTAGCCGCACAGTAGAGCGATAAAACAAGTTAAATTGAATATCTCACAAGCTACATGAATTGCGTTCAGAATTCAAAATACTATTCTTCATTACACAGCGATTTTTAGCGTGAAGAACACTTGTCTAGCACGAGATGGTTTTGGAACTGTTGTTCAATTTACCACACTAGTCCTACTTCCTTAACATACAATCATTATTCAAGTTCTGTTTGCTTGGCAGTTGGTAAGTCCACTCTAAAACCATGAGTCAAGACAACAATCCCTATCATATTGTCATCGAACCCTAAAACTTTCGTACGTG